GAAGAGTGGGCACACTTCAGCTCAGGAAAATTCCCAACTGTTACAATTGTTTTTATACCTTGAGGGCAACAGTTGATACCCTAGAGAGTACAGCTGCTATTTGGAGGAATCTTGACAAGCTGAAGGAAAGAGGTGGCAGAAACAGGCTGAGCTAGACTAGCTCTCCACGGTCTAGCTCTAGCTAGACTGACTGGCTAGAAAGAAGCTCAGCAGAAGGTCCTTAGCAAGGAGCTGGGATCCTGATGAACAAGCTGAATGTGTCTGCAACATGCCCTTGTGATGATCAAAGCCAACTGCCTACTGGGCTGCAGCAGAAGGTAAAGACAGGTTGAGGAAGGTGGTTTCTCCTCTCTTTGAGGTTTGTGAGCCTTCATCTGGAACACTGTGTCCAGTTTACACCTAATACAAGGGAGACACTGGCAAACTGGTGCAAGTCCAGAGGAGGACCGCTGAGATGATTGGAGGGCTGGACCATTCGTCATACAAGAAAATGCTAGGTTTGTTTAGCTTGGAAGGAAAAAAAATTAAGGGAAGTTCTAATTGCTGTTTCCAAAGACGTAATGGAGGTTGAAGAGAAGACGAAACTAGGATCTTCTTGGAAGTGTGCAGCAAAAGGATGAGAGACAACATCCGCAAGTTGCAGCAAGGGAAAGTCCAGCTAGAAAAAAGGAGATTTTTCTCAGTGATGATAGAAATCACTGAGGGGTTGTAAAATCTCCATCTGTGGAAATTTCCAAGCAACAGGGCAATGTCCTGAGCAACTTTTAAGTTTACCCCTGCTAACAGAGAGTTGAACTAGGTCATCTGAGTGTCTTCCAACTGGAGTTATTCTGTGGTTCTGCTCTAGTGTTCTCTGAAAAGTCCACCTTGCAGGATGTGTCAGTCAGTCCATCAAGAAGGTGGAGCCTTTTCTTAACACTGCCTTTGGTATTGCATGCTTCCAAATCCTTACTGTGCCCTCCCTCCTCCTTTTTTTTAAACCAGCTATCAGCATATCTTCATTCTGAATACAAGGATTTTAAAGTGTACAAATGCCCCTGCTACTCGAACAGAATTGCTGGCTAACGTTTTAACCTTTACTGATAATTCAGATCTGGTTGAATCAAATTAGTACTTATTAAATATTTAATTGTTACTCTTAGTATAAAATGGTTGTGCCTTCGGTATGATTTCACTATTATCATATCTACCACATAATCTGCCATATCGCCACCTGCCGTTACCACATCTAACCAAGAGTGTGAAACACTCTTACACTGCACTTAAAGAAATTATAATTTCTTGTTGATGTGTTTCTGCTAGAAAGAGCTTAACAATATGACAGTTTCTGTGTGTGATCTTTATCCTAGTTGATACTAAATATTTTGAGTAGAAAAAATGTAAAAGTAGAAGATTCTTTTATGATGTTGCATAAGGTTGTCAATGTCGATTGCATTAGGATGGATATGGATGTGGGAGGACTAGAACATTACCTGCAGTGAGCTATAGATTCGTGCTGTGTGGCAGTGATTGCATCTTTATACTGGTGATCTAAGGATATAAAGACAAGGAGAGATTTGAAGAGGGCTTGTAAGCTTGAAAGCTAGCCTGCCCCCACCTACATCAACTGATCTAACGTTACCTTTCTCTACAGATACAATCTTATTTTTATCCTCTGTGGTAAGTACAAATAAACATATGTCTGGATGTTCTAATACGCAAAAGACATCAATTACATGAAATGTTGAAATTAAAGAAGAAAATTGGGATGTTGGTGATTGTTTCTGTTGCTGAATATATTTGATTAAAGCAGTAGCAGAAGTTCAGTTCTTTCTGCTATGTTCCACAGTGGAGAAAACACAGGAAAGTTCCCTGTCTCCTGCGTCACTGTGAATTACAATGCAGCTAAGAAGCCTGTACTGCAGCTGAGCCTGTATCCTTGCCTCTTCTGCCTCCAGTACTTGTTATGCATTGTATTAAACTATTAAAACATAGGCTTGTCCACATTTACTTCTGGTAGACTTACAGTAGCCTGCAAAAAAGTCAAATGTCTTAATCTAGTGCTCTCAAATTTTTAAATAAATTCAAATTTTTAAATAAATTAAACTTACAACTGTAAGCATTAATTTAGATGCAGGTGTGCCTCAGTTTCGGATACTAAGACCAGATTAGGGTCTGACCAGACCAGATTAGGAGCATTCATCTCCTGCAGAGTAAATACAGAACTTCACCGTAATGAATGATGCTGGAGGAAGATGGCTGTGTGCGAGAACACCAGCAGTTTATTCAGCACTGTCAGGTTGCTCTCTCTGCTTGTGGTCCAGTCAGCCCAGCAGTTTTATGCCAGTAGGCATGCAGTGATGCAGAAGTAGCCCTTGTATGAATGAAAACTGGTGGTAACCATTGCTGCCTTTCTTTCGCATAACTATTTCATCATTGGAAGTGCACAGCCAGTGAAAGATACCAAAGAGGCAGCCACTCCAAACTCCATGTTCCTGTCAAAGGTAGGGAAAAATGAAAAGCTACAGTTGCTATGGGCTAATTTTTGTGTGTGGATGCCCAAAGACTACAAGCTAAGACGGTGGAGTTTTTTGTTTTGATTTTTTTTTTATGTTTCAAATTCAAGTTTATTCCCAATGTTTCCCTAAAGGTTCAGTAGCACGTAGTACAGACTTCTTAGCAAAACAGAAAGTCTTAGTACCTGCTGTAAACATGCTTAATATTGAAATGGACCTCTTGGTGGCATGTTCCTGTTAATGTATTATGATACAAAGATATGTTGCTTCTACTCTCTAATGTCTTTGAATGGAAGGAGATGTAATTCTAATGGTGAGGTACTCTTAGGCTTTAAATCACGTGCTAAAATAACACTGACAAACGTGTTGCCTTGTGAGAGGATGAGAATTCTTCTTGTGAGTAGAAATGCAAGATAGTTAACTTACACTTTACTGCCTTTAGAGTGTGATTCTTTCTACAGGTTTTTGGCATGAGAACTATGTTTCATTTCAGTGCACTCGTGTCTTCTGCTTTGGACAGAAATCATCACAAGTAAGTGGACAGAAGAAGGTGCCACGTTTTGAAACAATGTTAATGTTTGACTGCACAAAACATGAATTACTTTTTTTCCTAGTAAGCGAGGGGATTAGACTAAGAAATACTCAGGTAAGTCTTATTTAAAATTCAAGTATTCTTTTGACATGCAGATCTCAAGACAATTTAGATTGCTATAATAGTGACTAAGATAAAGAAGTGAAGAATAAGGTAAGAATATGCACATACATATTGTGATATGTAAATGTTACAGTCGGAGGTCTGTTTGGCAAATCTACTTGAGTAGTCTGAGAGAACTCAAAAGAACGTTGCTAGACAGATGCCATTGAATCCATCTTGTAATTCAAGTTTTTATTTTCCTTAGATTCACAACATATAACTGTGCCTATAATATTAATGTTTTACATAAAGTCTTACAGTAGACACATATTAGTCAATATTGTTAACTTACAAATTATATAAATCATATGCTCATTGTGAATTTCAAACTGGAGTACCTGTACTCTCATGACAAGTTAGCAATATTTGTGTTATCACAGAGACAAGATGTTCATACCTTTTCTTCTGTAAGAAGATATTTGATCTTTCAGTTTGAAAGAATCTTATAAAAAAAAAAAATCATTTTTCATTAAGCAAATTACTTGCCTAGGTGTCTTGCTCTGAAACAAATGCTTTTCACATAGAACACATTTTTACCAGGATCTTTTTTTCAGTAATAGTCTAGAGAAACTGTGATCTGTTCAATCCAGTAAGCATTATACACTCTATAGAGGTCTCAAGTTTGTGTATAACACAAGCACAATTTTAAGACATACAAATGTCTAGTTCATTAACTTTTACTCTGCTTCAACACCACCTGGGCTGAAATAAATTATTTCAGTAATGTCAGGATGCAAGGATGCAGCATTGCTTCAAATGACAAACGCTCTTAAATTAGGGTAGTGTTTTTGTGTAATGTGAAATTCCAGTCCCCTTAAAGCTAGCTTCTTTTAGTTAAGGAGTTTCTGTATCCTTTCACGTTGAAGGACATTTCAATGCAAGATGCTGCTTGTAGTTGCATGAATCCTATATATAACAGGACAACTACCTAATTTTTTTCTGTGTTGTACATTCTTATAAATACAGTGGGAAATAAACATATTTACATAGATATTCAAATGATACGTTGCATATTATTGCATAGGAAGTATTTTCTGTTTGGCTGATGATTCAAAAATTTTGAGGTATAGTATTATATTGTTGGCTGTTTCTCTGTTGTTTTCTTTTCATCAACCATCAATATAAATATGAGTCCATCTAATAAGTTAGTTATATAAATACATAAAATATGAAGCATCTTGTGTAAAAGAAGGATTCGACCTTAGCTTATAAATGATATTTATGAGAAAGCTTTTTCAATAGTAACTGCAGTACTTTAGTACTATTTGCATATACTATTCATAATAGGAAAGAATTGTGTTATCCTGGATTCACGTAAACTTGTTGCATGCATTCAAGTATATTGCTAAAGAAATATGCACACAGGATCCTGTTCACAGATAAAAACTTGGTCTGAGTCTATATTCTCATTCAGCTTCTGATCTGGCATGGTTTATACTCCTGAAATACCAATTTAATTAGTTGGGAGAATATTGTATGTAAGAACAAATAAAAATTGGAATTAATTTGTAGCTATTTGCATTGCTACTAGTTTTTCTATTAATCTGCTTATATTCAATATAGATTTTTCCCTTGAATATATATTACTTTTTGTCTAGTAACAGAAATGTCCTGCAAACCTCCATGATGCAGAGAAAAATCCATTTGGATGCTTGATTTGTCAAGCAGTAATTAGAAAATGCATTTTAGAAAAACACTCTATCTTTTCTGGTAGGGAGAAAAAAGTCTTGCATTCAAAATGAGCAAAAGCTAATAGCAAGGGGAAAATGGAGAAAGCTTTGCTGAGATGAGTTGCTCCTGTTGTAGTGTGGTTATTTTAGTAAAGTAATTATGACATGATCATCCCTGCCTTGCCATAACATTTCTCCCTCAAAGTCTACCAGCCCATGTTTCCTGGCTCTCATGAGAATCCCAACAACCTTATCTGAAATACGAACATATCTCTCAAAGAGTTCCCCAAAAGTGACCTGGATCTTGCCATCGTGCCGAGGCTTAGCCATCGATTCAATGATAAAGCACATGTCTCTGATCTCCCGGTGAATGTGGGCTTCAGCTCTCTTGGCCCTTTCTGCAGTTTTGGTGCCCTCCTTGGGACGGCCGTAGCCTTCATCTCCTTTGTGCAGGCGTGTGGACATGGCCAGCTCGTGATCAAATTCTTCACTGAAGGGATTCAGCTTCTGTGTTATGATATGCTGATCTGCCCATTCTTGCCATCTGTCTTTTAGGCTATTAACAGGGCTGTATTTCCTATGAGCTTTCTTGCTTATTTCTTCAGTAAATTTGCTTGCGCTGAAAGAAATAAAAATGGTATTTGAGCTTTGCATTTCATCATATTTAATTATGCAGTTCTGCTACTAATCTTTTTTTAACTTGGTCACAGTGGTTTTCCAGACCAGCTGCTAACCACTAGATGGCATGTTTTCATTAATTCTGATTTAGTCCTGGGGCATTTAATCCACATTTCAATTTGTGTTTAAAATAAAATTTGGTGATTGCAGTTTGACCTCATCTACGCTACCTTTTAGCTTACAGGTGAATCCATTTTTCCAAACTTTTTCCCAGATTGAGATAGTTTTGTAGGGGTGTGAAATAGTATGTGGCTGATTACCTGCAATTTTTGTACTGTTCCTTAATCGAATGGCTGTCCTTTTCTGCCTGCATAGCAAAATGTGAAATCTGTGACTTCAGCTGTAGATTGCAATAACTGCAAGTGTACAGACTGGATACTTCAGCTATTCATGACTGAAAAGTAGAGCACAGTATCTGGAAAAATCTTTCCTTTCCAGTCAGTGTTGACGAGAAAAAGAACGCAGTGGCTCTGCCTATGCTGAATTTCAAGTATGGTTATGAACTAGTGTTGAAATCCAAAACTGACTCCTGTTCCACGGGCTGGGAAGTACTGAGGTTTGTGCCAAGGTCAAAGGATGCAGCAAGGACTCCAAGCATTTTAGTGATCTTTGTAGCTATATCACTGGATGATTTCAGGCAGACAAGTTATTTTTATGCTTCCCTCTAGTGGCCAACTCAGTCCTAACTCCCACTGAAGTTCAGGAAAATCACTTTCTCAACTCTACATGCAGGAAGGGATCAGTGAAGCAAAATAAAAAACTAAATGCTGAATGAATCAAAATTGACTAGAAAAAGTTATACAAACAGTCTCAAGGCAGGTGATGGGCAGATGCCACCAGTGAGGGCTTATCCCTCAGTCACAGCCAGCTTCCTCCTCTTCTCTCAGGGGAACCTGACCCTTGAAAAACTCCTAGAGCTCAAATCCCTCAAGTTCAGCGGAAATAAAACCACTGAGATGGCTTAACTCTGGATTTTGTTACTTCTTTTTATTTAAACTGTGCCTATCTGTTCCTGCTTCAGTCTTTACTTCTCTTTCCTAGCTGAACGCTATTATCACTTTTCTAGTCTAAGAATCTTCTCAATGGTTTGGGGGGAAAAAAAAATCATCTAATCCATCTTTCCCCTTTTAATTCACAGGCCCTATGTGGTTTTAGAAAAACCTTATTTTCTCATCTTTTTCTCTCTCTCCTCTTTGTTTAATGTATCTCCTAGTATAACCATTTCTGATTTTAAAATTGATACTTTTGCTGTTGTTGAACTTACTGGTAAGTTACACTATAAACACATTGGCATATCCTGTCTATCAAGTTTGTGTAGCACCTAGCACAACGGACTGTGGTTCCAAAGTGAAGGTTGTGAGCATTAACCTACCGAAACAAGTGGTTTACCCATAACAACCCCAGAAGTTTACCTGTTAGCCAGAATGATAACCCTGAATGCATTCTGAACCTCTAAGAGGATAGATTCTGGGTTCTGTGGTATTCCCTTTTTGTAGGGGGAAAAAGTACACAGATTTTTTTTTTTTCTTGCAAGCCTCATATCACTGCTGTGCACATTTGGCTCCCAAGCAGAAATGAAATAGTATTTCTTAGGTCTGTAGGAGTTAACATTCAGTCTACTAAGGAAGCAGCCTGATTCCAGCAAGCGTTACAGCTGGAAGGGATGAAGGTGCTGATGCGAGGAGAAAAAAATTACTGGCTCTGTTGCTTCTTCCTGGGATATAACAAAAATGGGAGATTGGCTTAATCTTCTTCAAATAAAAAACGTTAAGTATGTGGCTGTTAAAGCAAAGCTGAAAGGTTCACAGAAGTAGCAGGCTGAAATAATGTATTCTGAGTCTATTTAAAAAAAAATCGTTAAAAAAATCAAGTCCTGAAACAGCAGTATAAATGCAGAAAGTAACTCCTTTCTGGCATATTTCAATGAAAGAGATAGATGTAAGCAATATAAAAGGTGTTATTTCAGTCCCTCATTTGTCCCTCAGTAAATATAGCTAATCTATTTTTCCTAGGTAGCAGCACTAAAATTAGACATATGGGGATAATGTGTGATGCTTAGCACAAAGACAGCAATTTTGTTTCTACTATAGCATTTTTTAAGCAATTTGTTTTAATTGAGGTTATTTACAGATAATGTCTGCTTCAAATGTTCTTTTCCCACCGTATTTGAGAAATCTGCTTTTTTGAGGTCCTAATTTCTGTCAAAGGATAGTGGAGAGTCTCTTCCAAAACTATGAAGAGCAAACTTTCAAGCTCTAGGTTATTGGTGAGCTTTTTCATTTTGACTATTAATGGATTATTCCTTGTGGGAGATGACTGGTTAATTTTGTAGCAAAGTGTCATTCTAATCTCCAATCTGAACGGTTGCAATAATTATGGATGTTCAGACATCTGCTGTAAAATGTGTGATACACTTGAAAATCCTTGACTATATTAGTGAATAGATGCTGCCCATGCTAAATACTCATCAGTAATGACTATAACCTGAGCGATGGAAATGGTATGGTCTGCCTGATTGTTTGCAGATAGAAGTCTGTTTTGGCATTTCATCTGTGCTGGCTCCAGTTTCTCATTTCCAAAATGGTGATTAGGATATGGTATGAAGATATTGGCCCTGATCCTCCGCTTCCTGCTGTCTTGCTAGTCCTTTACATACAAGTTAATTGAGTTGGTGAAAAACTCTGCCTTCTCGTCTCGAATTGCCTCGCACTCAGTTTGCACTTGCATTGCATCTGTGCAGGTGACAACACGGACTGGAAGGCAGCGGAGATTCAGGCCCTGCTGTGTGATGGCTCCTGGTGGGAGATAATGTCCTGGTGCCAGGCTCTTCCCTCCCCGTGAACTCTGGCAGCCGAGCTCTGCCAGATCCTGCCTCAGGTTAAGTTACAGCCTCCAGCTGTCTGCTCTGCCCCCTCAGTGAAGCTCCCAGGGAAAACATGTGCTGCGCCTTAGCCTCGGCAGAGCAAAGACTGGCCTCAGAGGTTGCCTTTGTTGTGCTTTTAGAGTTAGATACAAGGCTTTGCACAGAAACAGTTCAGACTTGGCCACCTGTTTGTTTCTGCTGTCTCTGCTCTAGGGCATTACAAAGCCCTGTAGGACAGGGCTGGGACAAACAACGTACGTGTACAATGGCTGCTTACAATTTGCCCTTTTGCCATGTTGGATGTATGGATCCCTTTGTCTTTTGCTGAAATGAGTCATGACTTCATTTGGCGACTACCCCTTGACAAGTCTGGCAGCAAGGCAACTGTTGGCAGCCATCTGCTGGAAAGGTGGTTCTGCTGGAGATCTCTGGGGAAATAAACTGGAGAACGTGTGCCGGACCCTGCTGATCCCCTGTGGAACTTGCTGTTCCTCTGCTCTTCTGGGAGATTTCCCAAGGACTGTCTGTCTGTAGGTGAACTTTACTTGTTTACTACCTGGACTCCAAATTTAATTTGCAGCTGCTGTTGGGCAGTAATCTTCAAGCAGAAGCCTCTTACTGAGAAAAATATTAACTCAGAACTCTGATGCTATGATTTTGATTGCTACTTAATTCATATCTTTAAGCGGAACTTGTAATAATTGTGTAGGTAAGTAATAATAGACTCTGGTTATTCTGTTTTCTTCACATCAATTACAGGCATTAAAAAAAAAAAAAATCTGCTACCTGTCAGGAGCTTCCACTTTTTGTTGGGAAGTGATTTGTAACAACATATTCAATTAACATACTCTTTTTCTGTTGGTAGTATGTTCATAGAGAGACTTTCTGTATTAGTAATCTGTTAATTAGTCAAATGTTCTTTTGACAAATGATTTATAGCAGCATGTTTTAGATCAGTCCTTCAAATGCAGTAGTCGCACTGGATGCTTTATAATGTTTGTTTAGGGTCCTGACTCCCATTCTTTGGCTTGATGAATTCTAAGTGCATGAAAAGCTTCCAAAGAGAACCAGTGAACCCAGCTTTTGTTAAGATGTATTTAAAAGAGTAATTGCTGCAATATCTATTTTTGATATTCTGGACAAGTTGCTCCAAATGACATTCACAATTTACATTAAAATGATGAATAAGCATTTGGAAATATTTGCTCAAGTACAGTGCCTTAGACTTGCAATTTGCTGAAATGAATGAATAGCTCTGGGCTCCTGATAAGAGAAAAGTTATTAATCTGAAATATAGACCAAAATATTAAGTAGTGATTTAGGTGAACCCATAAAAGTAGCATCAAAATTAGATATAAGTAACACTTCCCAAATATAACTTCCTGCGTCTGTGTACATAATGTATAGAACCCAAGGCTTAGTCAGATGTTGTTGGCTCTAACCACTTAAGCATGGAAAGATATATGATAGGTTTTCTGGGATTTTTTTAATTTTTTGTATTTTCTTGAAGGATAATAGGCTCTCTTTGGCCATTTCCTAGCATTTAGATTTTTCCTGATCTCATTTCCCTTCTTCCGCATGGAAACCTGTAACTGTCTCAGGATCTGCTAACCGTTTATGCCACTATAATGAAGATGTTTTACTTACAGAGAAGTCACAGGTCTTTTAATCCTCACAGCAGCCACCTTCTCTTGGTCACCATCTTCTAGCTCGAGTCTGTCCTCTGCTTCTCCATAGCCACTGTCCACTGTATCTATGCTGTCATCATGGCACTTAAGTAGCAGCTCTTGCTTAGGGACTTTGTACTCTTGTTCCATCACTTTCCAGCCCTTGGTCAGCTCTGATACCAGGTTTGAGCACTTTCTTCTCATAGTTGGAGATAATTTGCCACTAAGAATTTTGTCAATAGTACTTGGTTCTTCTTTCAGCTTTATCATCTCTGAGCTGCTATTGTCGTTCTCATATCTATCACTGAGGAGGCTAATATCACCTCCTCTTTCATATGCTTTACTTACAACTGTTTTGGTCACCTCTTTGGTTTTTATGTTCAGCTTTTTGAGAGCTTCATCTGACTCCCTTGAATTGTTTTCAACATCTTTTATTGCCATTGATTCTTTTGCTGAAGATTTTTGATCGTTTTTTATTTGGTGCCTCTTGACAGATGGCATTGGCCATTTTTCAAATGATCTTTCTTGTAATGGCTTAGCTGATGAGTCTTCTCTATCGGGTAGCCATCCAGAGGGCTCTTGCGCTTGCTTTATGTGGTGGTCACTAGCCCACTGCTGCCAGCCTCTTGCCAAACTAATAACTAGGCTTGCTGTTCGGATCTTGTGGACAGCCCTTTTTGCAGGAGTAGCCCTCGGCTTTTCTTCAGGAGCTGTGTTGCTGTCTGCTGCCATTGTGGCTTTTCCACTTCTTATGCTAAGCACCTGGTGAATGAACTTCCTGAGTGAATAATGTCCAGACAGGAGAGCTGCAGAGATTTAAATAGAAGCAGGAGCAGTTTGTGCCCATGGAAAATATGTCAAACACTTCTCATAAAGATATAGTATCCTCACTGTTCCTGAGTTCTTTTTTTAAAATGGCAGGGTTACATTTCATCACAGCAGATGAATGATACATGATGTAAACAGGGTGGCACATACCTGCAGTGGTAATAGTGGGAATTAACAGCTTCTGTAAATCCTTTTCCCTGGGAATACTTACTCCTCAGTTTGGTGAGTGTCTTGTTCTTCTAGAAGTGTAGAACTTGGGTTAAAGATCCTGAATAGTGTCAGAAACTGTTAAATGCGAAGTGCTGACAGTTGCTGACAACTTCAGACAACTCATCATTATAAGTAAAAAGTAGCCCTAATCGTGGAGTGTAAATCCAGAAGTAGACAATGACAGAGAAATTTTAAATGCATTTTCTACAACGATTCAAGGGGATTTCTTTTTATTGTTCATGGTAATATATACCCAAGGAAATCCAAGGGTTTTTAATTTTTAAATGTATTTAAGTGGTCTGTTCTTTAAGTCATTATCTATTTATGGCTATCTATTTAGAATTTATTTTGGGGTCTAGGAACCATTTCATATTTGGCATCATTACTTAGAATAAGGGAATCATTCTACTCTTAGAATTATTGTGTGTGTGTGTTTATAAATATATAATTTATATATATTAACAAATCTGATTAGATTGGGTGAGTGGATGTATGGATGATCACGTTCCCAAAATCCTAAATAAAAATTAGGAGAAGTATAGCCTATTTCATTCCTGACTGCGTTTTCAAGGAATAGGCATATGAAACTTAATAGTTACTTGGTTACATTGTAAGAAAAATCAAACTTCCAAAGAAAATGTTATGATTTTTTAGTTCTGGAGGACTTGCTGGCACGTGGTCTTATTTGGATTTGTAAAATTGTTTGAACTGATATATCAATTGTTACATAATAGTAAACAGACATTTTCAGAGATACAATTCTGTAGTATCTTATTTCTTAGTATAATGTTTCCTAAATAGGAAAGGAAAATAGCATTGCTCTTTCCATCAGTCATACCTTGCAGTTTACAGGATGAATTGCAGTACTCTCCATGTGACACTGAGTCAAACTGAACTTCAAGGAATTCTGTTGGCTTCACTGGAGTTTTCCAGAGATAAATATGGCCTCTTAGTACTCTGCCTTTTGTTTGTTTATTTTTATTGATGGCTGAGGCAATTGCAATAGGTTACATTTTTGTTGTTTAATAATATAAGACTATATGAGCCTTTTGAGTAGAATTCTTCATTAATCTGAGGGGTCAATTCCTCTACAAAACTAATGGCATAATGTAGGGTAGTGTTGTTATTTGATATTTACTCATATGTTTATTTTAGAAAGAAATGTATGACCTCAGGATACTGTACTGTCTCAACTATTGCCAGCTACATCATAACTCTGAAATGGCATTGTGATGTGTACTGATGCAATTTGATTAAGAGGCATGCATTACAGAGCACATTTATTTTGGTAATGCTTAAAGCCTAATAAGAGCAGGAGGTTTTTATGTTGAAAGATATGCATGTGCAGGCATGCATACACAGAGAGTGATCAAAATTACCTAATACCTAAGAAATAAGCAAAAGAAGAAAATAATGCACATGTAGACTAAGCAGTGTGACACCAGCATATTATGTCATGTCCCATGATTTCTTAAGTATAAGGGTGGCCTAGGCCTTAGGAATGAGTTGGAAGCCAGATCTAAAAATAAGAGGTGAGGCCAGGGAGGAAGGTGTGCAATGAAGCTTGAGAGAAAAAACTATCATAGAAGGTAAGATTGACGGGGATCTCCACAGTCATCTCCCTGCCATAAAGTAGGATCAGCTCTACCTATATCTGTTTGTTCAGATTGCTCTATACCTTGTTCTTAAAGACTGCCAGCAATAGATACTCTCCCGCTCTGCCTAGGCAATCTATGCCGGTGGCTAACCACTAACTTAGAAGTTAGAAATTTTTCTCATGTCTTCTCTTCACCTCTGTCACAGCGCTTTAAGCCTCCATCACTGCTGAGAGCAGACAAATCCTACCCTTTTAGAGGCAGCCTTCCTAAACGGAGAGTGCTGTGTTCCTCCTCAGTCTTCTAAGTAACCCTAATTCTTCCAAACTTTTCTTATGTTTTCATTATCAGTCGTCATCCT